TTGTGGATCACTATTTCGTAAGTACAGATTGTAAAACTTTTGTATCAAGCAAATGTTGTCACGATATGCTTGACAGCTTGAGACGCCATGTTACACTATGAAATGGTAAAAAATATATCAATTTCGAAGTTTTTGGTCGTTGTCAGCATAAATTCCACCTCACAAACATATATCAATACTTTAATCCTTGGAAAGGATTTTCGAATATGTGAAAGAGAAAAAAAGTACTTGCAGGCCGCCATGTTCTTTTTCCGAGTAATTAACAAATTGGTACTCTGGAAATACAAGCAATTATTTTTCATTGTACGGGCTAGTATAAATTTCAAATCAAATCTTAATAAACGATTTTTATATTTTGTGCACTAAGAATAACATATCGAACTTATTTTCTAGAATCAAATTGTAATCTGTTTTACTTATATGTATGTATTTTCATTTTGAACTTGCACCTTGAACAATATATCAGTTATTTTTCATGGTAATATATTATTAAATTTAGATAATATACACTTTATGTATGTTCACTTTGAACTGGCACCTTTATTAATAATATATCAGTTACTTTTCATGATGATGTATTATTTCAGATAATCATTTAAATTTTTGAGGATCTTTTTTTGAACATGGTTTGATCTTTTCATTTTCATGATTTTTTAGGGATATCACCTACTTTTCAGTGTATAGATATACAGGTCAGCTTTCTAGTAATGCAAATATCACAAATGTATATATTTTCGATTCTTATCACGCAACTTTCTATAAGCTACAATTTATGCAATACAGTTGGAAAAAATTGAAATATATGGTATTAACTGTTTATATAATTATAATAAATATTTACCATACATTACATATTTATTTCAATTGCAACAGAATGAATTTATAATATTTTATGAATATACTGAAAATAAAAAATGGACCTCTCCATTCTCATGAGAATGCAACCATATTTTCTTCGTCTCTCCGATTTTAACATGATCTTTGACACAGAGGTTTTTTTTTTTGATGATACTCTTTGAAATATCATAAAGTTCTTCGAATATGATAATAAATCTTTATTATTCATAGTAATATATCAATATAATCAATAGATTTTTTTGACAAATTACATTTCACTTTAGAAAAAAATCATGTTTCGACAACATACATATATACCATATTTTTCAGTAAATTAAAGCGTACTACATCTGGTGCAAACTACATCTGGTGTAAAATATTTTTTAATATATAACTATAATAACAGGGGGAAGCTGCAACAAGTCTCCACTAACAGAAGAATGTGTTTTCTGCCAAAGAAACTATCATCTGTATCTGTCGTATCAAAGATTTCACATAATCATAGATTGATAAACATAAGTGTAACATTCGAAATCATGGATATTTCATCGATTATAAATAATTCGAACAGTCTTTAATTTATCTCTCAAAATTTTCAAGACCATGTCTAACAAATGCGTATACTTTACCGTAGATTCATGAGTGACGGGCAGCTAAACATTCTATGGATCGTCAAGCCATCGATATTGAATGCCGCGATATCCGTAGGAGCAGATATGGCAGTCGCTTTTTTCAAATATATTCTGATCCAATGTTCAATCGTTTCAATAAGAAAACTTTTCCCTATACCACCCTCGCCACTTAGGTACAGTCGCAGAATCTGATTTTTATTTTGTAAAACTTGGCATACTCTATCAAAGATTCTTTTCTTCGTTCAATCGCGACATTATTTGCGATAAATCAATCGATGCGTCAATCTTACCAAAATCTTCCAGATCTTTCATCGCGTCGTCAGCTTCTATCGAATTGCCATCCAGTCCATCGTCATCGGATTTGTCTCTATCTGCTGTTTTCAGATCATTTTAGCGCTTCTCGATTAATTTAGCAACGTTCTCAAAAGCTTTCTGTATTGCTTCGAGCCTTTCCTGATATTTCATTGCCTTTGTCAAAGCAGACGCTGAATTCTTAAAGGCATCCGTGTAAGTCTCGTGCATCTTTGAGTTCATTCAAATCTCTCCGCGGTTTAAACAGAAGAAGTATCGAGTAAAAGCATTTTTCGGGTTCAGTTTTTACATTAAATTGATAATGGTTAATTAAATAACACTTTTTTCGTTTTTTTAAACATAAACCCGATATAAGTTTGTAACATTCGATTTCGTCATTTTTTGGCATCTGTTTCGTAATTTCCCAGAATCTGGCAAAATCGTACAAATTCAATGATTCTAATTCCTTAGGTCTGCTTGGATAGTAATTATCGATGAGCGACGAACAATAAATATTTGTAGAATTTTCATCGAGAGCTTTAATTTCATTGAATGTTTTAACTTTTCTGTTTCTCATTTCATTAACGTCAATCTGACAATGATATCACTGTCCGTACCATAGAAGGGATTCCTTAGTAGTGTGTCCGCAGCTTCTAAAGCACCGCATTCTCTATTATTAAATGAACGCATCGCAAAATTCCACAGTTCGATGTCAAGGGCTTATTGGAATCTATCATTGCAAAGTCTATATTGCATTTCTCCAACTTTGTCGTGTATTTTGCTAAGTATAAGTTTAAAACTCTGATTTTTGTCCAGTAAATTTTATGTCCATATGCCCCTCTCAGGCTAATTTGATAGTAGGATTATAATCATTGATAAATGGTTTCTAATACGGCTGTCCGCGGCCCATTACCGTTGGGAACCGCGAAGAGGAGACGGACGAGGAAGAAATAACAATTATAATAATAATAATTATAATAATTATAATAAATAATAATTATAGGTCATTTTTAAAGATTATAATTTAACGCCCATTATTGATATAAAATCTTTGACTTACCTGATACATATCATTAAAATTAAGTAGATTTTTTATTTTTAGGACTACTTATTATAAATAATTTCTTCAGTAAATAAACACGTAATAATTAAGAGTTACTCTCAAAGTGACTTTTCCAAGTTTAGCACAAAATTAGTATAGTCAGTTATCGTTGCAATGAAGTCGTTATCAAGTTGTTTTTATAAATGATAAAATTTATGGCGTTATTTTACTTCCTATCCCTGCATTTTTTATATAAATATATTTGCATAAAATTTTCCTTTTCAATTAGTTATTCAGACAGACGATTCATAAAATAAGAACCATGGAAAATTTCTTAATTATAAAAATTCAAATTTTGGGTAGCCTTTTCATCAATGTTTTAAACATTTCGATAACTTTTACTTAATTTTATTCCTTTCTTCAATCTGGAATTATTACTTAACATAGACTTACGGGATACGATACTTGTTTTCCCACTACATTTCCTGCAACCTTCGGAAGGCTTAGCAGTCACCCATCTCACGTTAAAAAGTTATTAAAAATGAAATAAGGAATTCAACACCGATGACGCTGACCGTGATATATTGTCAAGATAATGATCCTTAGTGACCATCGAAGGGTTTCGTCAATCGCTCGTTGTTTATTAAGAAGTTATTAAAATTAAAATTCACTTTCGATGACCTTGACCCTCCCACACATTACGAAGGTCATCACACCGAACAACCTTCGGAAGATTGTAGCAGTCACTCGTCGCACGTTACAAAGTTATAAAAAAAAATTAATACGACCTTGACTCACAATGTCAAGGT